TGCTTGGTTTTAGCAATTATTTAATTCAGCACTTTTCTAATTTCAACTTTACAAATTAATGAATTAATACCTCAGTATTTTGTGTTATTATTAATCTACATTGTTTTATCTTTTTTTAAGATTTGAGGGTGTTTTATTAAACTCTTTAATTTTCTTAAATTGTTATTCATTTTTGTACCATATTTGATTTCTCCCTTAGGTGTTAGCCCCATAAATCTCCCACCAATCACATCACCTGTGAACCATCAGCATGATCCCTTGCTCTCTTCCCTCCCTATTTTGATCCCTTTCCCTCTCCTGTTGGATGCCTCATATCTATGCTCAACTTTCAAGTTTGTCTTTTTCTTTGAAACTATGTTCAATTTCCCTAGATTCCTCCTATAGGTGTTTATTTTTCCTTTTGACTTATTTCACTGAACATAATCCCTTCCTGCTCCACCCATGTTGCTGCCAATGGCATGACTTTTCCTTTTTTGATCACTGGTAGTATTCCATTGTGTACATACACCATATAATGAAAGGAAAAACACCATATAATGAAAGGAAAACTATTTACAGTGTTTTCCTTAATTTATATACATTTGCCAATGTGCTCACTTAATTTGATTTCTATTGGAGTGTTAGGAAGAAAAGGATTATCTAAACAAACTCTACAGATACAGGTTTTTTGGACTCCACCCCCACTCTAGACACTGAAACTACAAATCCCAGCAACACCAAAGGGAGGACTTCTAGGACCCCGAGGGCAGAGTTAAGCAGCCATTTTGGTTTTTTGGATATAAAGCTGCACATGTTGGGCTATCTCTCTTCTTCCTCCCTTCCCCCCCCCCCAACCTTGTGGCTGGAGATTGGTTGCTTGGCTCTTCCTATTGGGGACCCAAGTCATTGGAACTGGTAGGATGCATTCATTAACTTGTATCTCTCTCTCTCTTTCTCTGGGTTGTTTCTTTCTTTTCCCTTTGCCAATAAACCCATTATTTTTATGTGTGTCTGCAGTGCAGTTGAATCTTAAGCATACAGGTGAAGACTCACAGACAGGCAACCCAGTTCACATTGGGTTGCCCTGTAAGAGGAGCATCAAGGAAACTTTTAAAGCTGAAATAAACCTTAGAAAACATTTTAGATATGAGAAAATTTGGGTCCATAGAGATTAAACACATTACCAAAGATTTAGCACTATTTGGTCTTAGAAGCTATGATGACACATAATCTTTGTAGCAGGACTCTAGTTTTTCAATCTGTATGCAATTTCTTTCTACTTTATCTCTTTTCAACTTTGTCTCTTTTATTTAATAAAATTTTATTGATCAACAATGCCATTTTTGTACATTTCTGGGGTACATATTCACCTCTATGTGGGTATAACTCTTACCTTACCTTCCTACTACAAAATTTCTTACTATAAAATTAAAAAAGTTTGCATTAAAGTTAGGTATATAAAAGATCATAGGGGAGCAAATCCACCACCTCAAAGTATGCCTCTGGCAAAAGGATTATTTTTTTTTCAAAAGGATTATATTATAGGAGGGGCTCTGGAGACTGGGTGGAGGTTGCCCTTTATAAGAAGCATTTAGTTGCGTAAAGGAAAATCTCCCTTTATAGGAGTATCTCCATCACTGTATAAGGAAGATCCAATCTTCACCTCATCAACTGAGAAGGAAGAATTTTAGTCTGTGTAAGGTTATGTCCTTACTGGCTATTCTTTCTCCACAACCTCCCATGGCTGACATTCCATCCCATTTTAAATTATTATGGCCATGTGAATGACATAGGCATTATTAAGAGTTATGAATATTTACCTTTGATTGGGAAATCCCAATTTTAGGAAATTAATGTAAGATGAAATACTAGTCACCTAATTCTAGCTTTGACGTCACCCATTTATTCAACAAGTATTTCTTGCTCATTAGCCCTATTTCAGGCATTTAGAATTTAATAGTGAAAAAGTAGATAAACTGTTATCTTCATGGAATTTACACATTTTGTAAAGATGGTATAGATTTGAGACAAATAATAAGAAAAACATGTAAGTAAAATACATAGTGCCTGACTTGCTGATAATAAAGAAGTAAATAATACACCTGGGAACATTTTGAGCTTGCTAACTAACTCCTGTAGAGTATATTAAAGGATATTTCTTTAAGGATAGCTTCTGCTTTCAGCATATATCATAAGATCCAGGTAAAAGCTGAAAAGTGATTTAAATGAATATGAAGGCAGTTTAGAGGCAAGAAACTCTGAAGTTCCTGAAATTTCCAATCCTATCACAATTACTGTAGCAAAGGCACAAACCTCTAAGAGTATTTCAAAAAAAGAAGAAATGAGAGAAGGAACACATTCTTCAGATGCTTGCAAGGGAATATTGTCCCTAAGGCAAAGAGAGATTTAAGTTAAGAACTGTTTATCTGACATTATTCAGCCTTGAAGATTTTTCCAATGATTGGAATAGTGGTCAAATAAAGATGCATTGCCTTCAGCAAAATAGTATGGTGGCTCAAGCAGCAGAGGCTGCATTCTTACATCATTAAAAAGGAAGTGAAACATCTGTAAGAGGTAAAAATAATGTATGACCAAATAAAAAGAGATGGCTGAAATCAAAAGCCTTTATTTTGGGCTGAGGTTCATTTTTGGACTTATTTATGGACTGAGGTTCATTTTTGTATTTAATAAACTTCACTTTTAGAACCATTTAAAATTGCAGCAAAATTAAGCAGTAAATAGAGATTCCCCTTCCCTACCTCCCACACACATCAGACCCCAGCTGTTGACTTTCCCCAACAGAATGGTACAGTAGATATGATAAATAAACTCACATGGGCACAAACATAATGTCATACCAATATAGTACTATACAGAGTAGTTTTCCACACTAAAAATCTGTGCTTGGCTTATTCACCCTTCCTTATCCCATCTTTTGGAAATTACATTTCTCCATGTTTTGACTTTTCCAGAATGTCATATAGTTGGAACCATACAGTAGGTTGCCTTTTCACACTGGCTTCTTTACTTTACATGCATTTGTTCTCTGCCTAGGGATCTCCACAGGCAGCAGAAGGGGGCAGTAAAATGCTGTAACAGAATGCTCTGGAAGAGTTTAAATATTCTTTCTTATTTTTTTTTTTTACACAGAAGATTCACCAACAAATTTCAGAGACTAAAAAAAGAAATTCTGTGCAACAGATACATCTATCTGTTTAGAAGAGACACAGAGGCACAATCTATGTATATGAGAGGAGATTATAACTTTTACATAATCAAAACTTTATTTTTTATGGTGTGATATATCATGACAAAATAATCACAGGGCTTTTCCAAATATTACATATTTAGCCATCGTGATTTAGTGTGAGGCATTCAGTGTTACCTCCCTCAATGACTAGCCTCCAAAAATATACTGTTCATTCCATTTTTATTGCCTCAGACTTGTGAAATTATTTAACAAATCAACATCATAAGGGTTTCTTCTCAAGTCCACATTTGGACCAGCACTTACTTATATACATTATACAACTAAGGACTGACAAGGGGATAACAATAATGACAATAACTTCAAACTTAATTAAAAATCACAATGCACAATTTTAAAAGACTCTGAGATGCAAAGTATGGATTTCTACATGACCTGTAACCAAGTCTGAATTAGTAATTCTAAATGTCAATTTAAGATTGGAAGAGATACAACCTATTCATTAAAAAAAAATGAATTTTTAATATTTTAAAAATTTTGCTCTTAGTTGAAATTTCATGAAAGTCTGTATATAAATGACAATGTCATAATAAAGTGATTTACTATCACTGTAGGGAGAGAAAGACTTCCTGGATGAGATAGAATCTTAGTAATTTGTGTCATAGAGTGTCAGATGATGTGTAGATTAGACAAAACAGTAAGAAAAAATATCTAAGGGAGTCTCCCTATTTTTCCCCAAAATACTTCTTACAAATTGAGCTATCTGGTATAATTTTATTTGAAGTTCAATGTGATTGTTTTTCATGAATGCTAAGGATGTTTGGTTTAACTAAAATTTTTATTCTCCACTTTGTTGTTGCTAATTTCTTTAAAGTATCTCATCCTTACTTTTCCAATTCTACCAAAAGATAAATATGAAACACAAGCAAATGATAAGGACGAGACACTTTAAAACTCAGAATTATATTTTCTTTTCATTTATTCCATCCAATTCATCAAACTATCTCCAAAATGAGAATAGAAAATTAATACCCCAAATAAGTCCAGACAATTAATAAGACAATGCAATGGTATTAATTTGATATTTTGAGGAACGAAAAGGTGTCCCTCTTCTTCTCTGAATATTTCTCTGGTAAGTTTCAAATTTACATTAGACAAACTGACAAGAGAACTGAGAGGTTAAAGAAAACTGGGGAAATACATGCCCTTCTGGACAAACTGAAGACTTGGAACTTTAAAGAGAAGGAAAGTAATTCACAAGATCGGATGTTTCTCACACAACTATTTGCCAGGTTACACAGAAAATAACTGGACAAAAAGAAATTGTAACAAATATATTTTGAAGGGTAGTTAAGAAGGAGGTAAAAGCTCTTTCTTTAGTCTTTTGGACCTTTATTTGTCTTAAAGCAATACGCAGAGCAAAATGTCTGTTTTGACGTCAGGTATTCTGTTCCCCTTTAATTAATCCCTTAACTGTCACCTTGGAAAAGCAGACAGGAAAGGGGGGGGGGGGAAGCAAACCTTAAAACTACTTTACTACTTTTATTTATTTTCACCTTCAAAACGCCGCCTCTGGCACAAAATCTAATTAGTAAATTAGTGAAATTAAGAGTTTTGGACTACTAACACCTGGAGGAAAGGAAGTGATCTCCTTTACAAATCCTTACAAGGAAAAGAAGTCCGATAGTAGTAGCCTGCATGGTGGTTTCTGTCTATGCAAAAGTCCACGTGACTTTCAAGCATAAAAGGAAGGTTCTCTCCCTGAGTTCAACAGTCAAACGCGCAGCAGCTAGCGTGGCATCAGAAGCTCGGCTCTGCGCCACCTCCAGCTCCACCCGCTCGCGCCGCCTGCAGCCCAGATGCTCCTCAGCACGCTGCTTCTCTGCGCAGCGCTGGCGCTCACCAGTGCAGGTGGGTACCTCTTCTCGCTTAGGGTCATCTCCCTGTGTGTATCCGCGGTTTCCGCTGGGTCCCCCCGGCACTGGGAACAAGGTACGAATTCTGAGATTTATTCCTACAGAACTGGCCGGATATCCCAGTTCAGAACTGGCCGGATGTCACCAGTTCTGATTATCATATACCATTCACTTAACGGTCTGTAGTTCAGTTTATTATCCACTAAGAAAGAATACTGATAGACTTTTCAAGTTGGCGTAGTACAGAATATGAGAAATAGATTTGAAATGTTTAAGGCACCGTTATTGGGCAGGAGTAATTGCTTTAAGTACATTGGGTTGTGCTTTCTTGGCAAAGGAAACCCCAAGTTATTTTTTAAAGATAGCAGAACATTTTAAAAGTTAGTTGTTTTTACTTTGAAATGTTTCTTACGTCTTGATTCACATACTAAATCCATCCATTTTACTTCTGAACGTGCTACTTATTTGAGCTTTTTTTAAATGCTAATTCCGCCCTCGCTGGTGGCGCAAAGGGTTAAAGCACAGCACTGCGTGCTTCAGCACTAGTTCAATCCCCAACCAGGGAGGCTACCTACAGGGGCAGCAGACCTTGCCTGCCCTGCCCGCTCCCCTCGGCAGCATACTTCACCAGTCTGCTTGTTCTGCTCCCCACTGTGTCTCTGGTGAATCCTCTCACCGCCCCTACACCTCTGTCTTGTAACCCAGTTCTGTATGAATAAATAAATAAATCTGTTTTTTTTTTTAAATGCTAGTTCGAAAATCTAAAATGTGAGATGATTTCCCGGGTTGAATATTTGTTACCCTGATTTAGCATAGAAAGTTGGCATTTCTACATTACAACCATTCTGTGACAAGTTTAAAAATAATTTTGTCAAGATTAGTTGCTTGAATTTATTATTATAAAGATGACTCATAATAAGCCAGCAATTCCGTGTTTTAAGACTGAATTCACTTTTATTTACTGTCTTTACTTTTATTATAGCAAATCCTTGCTGTTCCAACCCATGTCAAAACCGAGGTGTGTGTATGAGTACAGGATTTGACCGGTATAAGTGTGACTGTACCCGAACAGGATTTTATGGCGAAAATTGTTCAACACGTAAGTTTCCTTTTCTGGTGACTTAGTTTGGAATGGGGAGGCAGGCATATGTCATTTTACAGACCTATGTCTTATAACGGAGCCTATTAATTTCTTCATTTTCTTCTTTTTTATTGCAGCTGAATTAATGACAAGAATAAAATTATTGCTGAAACCTACTCCAAATACAGTGCACTACATACTCACCCACTTCAAGGGTTTCTGGAACATAGTCAATAACATTCCCTTCCTGCGGAACACAATTATGAAATACGTGTTGACATGTGAGTACACATTTCTTCTTAAAGTTTTCCGTTTTCTCAAAGAAAACTGTATTTTATATTACTGTAGATTACTAAACCTACTTCAAAACATATTTCCAGCCTTGCCAAAAATGACTTGAAATATGCATCTTTAGTTTACCATTTATCTTAATGGTCTAAGATATTTGCATCCCAGTCCCATCCAGTTTAAGTTTTGTCTATCTATATATAAACCCTGCATAGTGAACTTTACCAATTTGTGACCTTTATTGCCTGTGTCAATTTGTGAAGGAAGTGTGGTCCAGTTGTTTATTGAATGCCCATAGATCACAGAATGGCATCCATTAAGGTCAATGTTTAATTTGAATTTGGATCAGCAAGAAAAAAACTTTATTTCTGAAGTGAGTTCATGCCTAGATATTATAATCATTGCCTGCTTTGTTGCACAGTAAATGGATAGCACTTGAAAAATCAAGCTAGCAAGACCAGAATGTCTTGTGTAAAACATATACACCTTATTCAAGATGGATTTAAATAAATCAATTTCCTTTTTTTGGATACATGTGGCAGTTTGACTTTAAAAGTGTAATTGTTTAAAAATAGTTTCTTGGTAGAATTCAAGCTCTGATGCTACTTTACACATTTTTTAGTAGTAATGAATATTGATTTGCTTTGCACATGATAACAAATAAAACAATTCTTCTTTTTCTTGAAAATTTCAGCCAGATCACACTTGGTTGAGAGCCCACCAACTTATAACATGCACTATGGCTACAAAAGTTGGGAGGCCTTTTCTAACCTCTCCTATTATACCAGAGCCCTTCCTCCTGTACCTGATGACTGTCCGACTCCCATGGGCGTAAAGGGTGAGTATGAAGCAATTAGATAAAAAAGGAAAAAATATGTATTTAATGATAACATGGAAGATAATATCTGAGTACATGGAAGAGACCAGCATGACACAGTAGCTCACTTGACTTCAGATATAATCTAGCTAAAGCAGAAGAGATTTAGGGAGAAAGGGAAGGTCAGTTAGTAAAGTTAAGAGAAAGATAAGTAGACAAAGATGCAGAATTGAGCCCCACTTTTCTCCCCTAGAAAGAAATAAGATACTCTTCCTGGGAGAGGCCTTGCAAAGAAGTTTACAAATAAATCTATTTTTCAAAAGAACCCCCACCTTCCTAAAGAATCCTTCCCGTGAAATCCACCTTTTGCCTAAAAGACATTTTGTGGTAGCAGATTTTTGCTCCCTTACATGATTTAGAAATAACCACCCAGAATTATCACTTATTAGTTAATGTAAATATATAATTTTCCTTTCTTCTAAATGTTTATGGAAATTTTTGTGAGTATGAGGATCTATATAAACTACGCCAGGAGGCCCTCCTGGTGGCACAATGGGTTAGAATGCAGCACTGCAAGCTAGCTGCAGCCACTTCAGCCTACATTAGATCCCTGGCCCCAGAGGTGATCCACATGGTGCAGCAGACCTCTCCCATCTCTCCGGGGTCTCTCCCGCTGCTCCCCTCAGCAGAGTACTTAGTCGATCTGCATGCTCTGCTCCCCATTCCTCTCTGGTGAATCCTCTCACCGCCCCTGCACCTCTGGCCTATACCCCAGTTCTGTATTCATAAATAAATAAATATTTAAAAAAAAAACTATGCTAAGAAAGTGAATGAAAATTTTAGTTTAATATCTTAAGGTTTTCAAATTCTTTTATTAAAACTAAATTAATATTAGTTAAGCAAAATAGACAAAATTATTCAATAAGAACTTGTTCCCCGTATTTTAGAATTTTCTTTATTTTCTAGACTTGTTCACAATTGTAATTCTGGAGATGAAAAATGTTCTGGATAAGTAACTGTCTATCCTTGACTATATGGATCAATTCTTATCTTAGCTTTATTTTTTTTTTCAGGAAAGAAAAAGCTTCCTGATTCAAAAGAAATTGTGGACAAGTTTCTTCTAAGAAGAAAGTTCATCCCTGATCCACAGGGCACAAATATGATGTTTACATTCTTTGCTCAGCACTTCACCCACCAGTTTTTCAAGACAGATCATAAGCGAGGACCAGCTTTCACCAAAGGACTGGGCCATGGGGTAAGAGAATGAAATCAGAATTATAGAAAATCATAATGAAGTACTGATATTAAAAGCCATGTGTGTGTGTACATATACATATATGTGTATGCATATATATTTTAATCATGCCAAATAATTCACCCTCTTTTTAGATTTTTAAATCGTGCCAACTAATTCACCCTCTTTTTAGACTTAGTTTCAATAGTTCCATTTTAAACTAAACACACATATATAAACATACATATGTGTTTAAACTAAACACACACATACAAACATACATATGTTGCTATTATTTGTAATTTGTCTTATATTTTTAGTTTAAAATATTAACATTGCAAAAAGTTGTCTATGCAAAAACATTTGTATGCAATTATGCTGCTTTGCACATTATAAAAGGAAATGATTGAAGCATTATTATTTCTTGGGTTTCAGCGATAGTTTCAATTTATTGATAAAAATTTATGTGAATAAATTTTCAAAAGCTTTTTAAAATAAATACCATATAATTATGATGAAACACTGATATTCCCATACATTCCATATGAAACACTAACAACTTAATACACAAGAGACTTACAGGTTTGTACCTTCAGTGGACAAATATACTAATTTGTTATTAAATTAATAAATTTGTTATTAAGTTAATGTAACTATTTTATTGAACATTGTGCTATGATAAATTATATCATAGACACTTTATAGCAACAACTTCAACAGCAACAAATTAAAATTTTTCCATACCTTTCTAGGTGGACTTAAATCATGTTTACGGTGAAACTTTGGACAGACAGCATAAATTACGCCTTTTCAAGGATGGAAAAATGAAATATCAGGTTTGTTGCATTTGAACATGGAAGAATGATGACTCATGACTTACCTATATTTTAAAATCTTTATGATTTTAATGATTAAAATTTGTTAATTGGCTCTTGTTTTAGTAATGTTTATTTACTACTCTTATTTTTTAGATAATTGATGGAGAAGTGTATCCTCCTACAGTCAAAGACACTCAGGTCTCCATGATCTACCCACCTCAAGTCCCTGAACACCTGCGCTTTGCTGTGGGGCAGGAGGTCTTTGGCATGGTGCCTGGCCTGATGATGTATGCCACCATCTGGCTGCGGGAACATAACAGAGTGTGTGATGTGCTGAAACAGGAACATCCAGAATGGGGCGATGAGCAGTTATTCCAGACAAGCAGGCTAATACTGATAGGTAAGCAGAAAAGAGAAAATGATTTCAATTAAACCCTCTTCCCCACAGAAAGCTAATTTATTATATTTGCTATGTATTAAGTAGTTCTGGGGGTTTATAGTAAGCAGTAAAAATTGCCTAATGCAAATTGAGTCTTTGAGTGTGATTGGCCATATGCCTAGCTTTTGGTTTTGGAAAGGAAAAACTAAAAGTGAAGGAACAGAAAATTTAGCAAAGTTGTATTTCAGGCTGGTGTTTGGGATCAGAAAGCATTAATGTTCTGAAACCTTTTACTTTGTGCAAATAGGTGAAACTATTAAGATTGTAATTGAAGACTATGTCCAGCACTTGAGTGGCTATAACTTCAAGCTCAAATTTGATCCAGAACTGCTTTTCAACCAACAATTCCAGTACCAAAACCGCATTGCTGCTGAGTTCAACACCCTCTACCACTGGCATCCTCTTCTTCCTGACGCCTTTCAAATTAATGAAAAAGAGTACAACTATCAACAGTTTCTGTACAACAACTCTATCTTACTAGAACATGGTCTTACCCAGTTTGTTGAATCATTCAGCAGGCAAATTGCTGGCAGGGTAAGCATTATTATTGAAAAAATTATACAATATAAAAACATTAGTCCTTAACGAGAATTACTGCCACAGGATGATTTGTCTTAAACTTTGCAACAGATTCATTAAAATATTTGCTAGTAAAATTCTTTTCTTCAAATAAGAAGCCTAACAATTTTTTGAAAGTCTTAACTTTTAGTCTGCAGCTATCACATAGCAGTATGTGGCCATACTTTAATGATAGACACATTTAATGATAGACATATTTAAACTTTCTATAACTTCATAGACTATAAATGTCATAGATTGTAAAAATAGATATAAAATGTATTCCAACAAGTAGAATTGTTTAAGTCTCAATCTTACCTACATTGTAGCTACTAAATTCTTTAAAATAAAATTGCCATTATCCCTGAAGATTGCGTTTGACAATTTAATGTATTTCCCACAGGTTGCTGGTGGTAGGAATCTTTCACCTGCAGTACAGAAAGTAGCACAGGCCTCAATTGACCAGAGCAGACAGATGAAATACCAGTCTTTTAATGAATATCGCAAGCGCTTTATGCTACAGCCCTACAAATCATTTGAAGAACTTACAGGTGAGAGTCAGTGTCTAAACTCAGGGCAATCAAGGATCAAATGGAAATAACAAAGAGGTCAAAAGCCAACTGAATGAAGGGGCAAAATTATTTCTTTACTTTGTAAAATTTTACATTGGTTTTTATTTCTGTCACTTTCACAGGAGAGAAGGAAATGGCTGCGGAGTTAGAAGCAGCTTATGGTGACATCGACGCTATGGAACTGTATCCTGCTCTTCTGGTAGAAAAGCCGCGTCCAGACGCCATCTTTGGTGAAACAATGGTAGAACTTGGAGCACCATTCTCTTTGAAAGGACTTATGGGTAATCCTATCTGCTCTCCTGAGTACTGGAAGCCCAGTACTTTTGGTGGGGAAGTAGGTTTTAAGATCATCAACACTGCCTCCATCCAGTCCCTCATCTGCCATAACGTGAAGGGCTGTCCTTTTACCTCATTCAGTGTTCAAGATCCACAGCTCACCAAAACAGTCACCATTAATGCAAGTTCTTCTCATTCTGGACTTGATGACATCAACCCAACAGTACTACTAAAAGAACGTTCAACGGAATTATAGAAGTCTATTCATATTTATTTATTTATATGAACTATTTCTGTTGACTTAATTATTTAATATTTATATTAAACTCCTTATGTTATTTAATATCTTGTTAAGGAGGAAAGGGTCATACTTGTAAAGTTTGTTGTGACACTATTTTCTTCAAATCTGAGGAAAAGAGTATTCTTTTTTTTATGAACCAATGAGAACTGTGTTTGAATATCTTTTTACTTGAATTTCAGTTTTTGTGATGGTATAATAAGGACAAAGACAAAGATGTCCGAATGTTTAAATGCTGTTACAGAAAGGCAAAATGCTGCAAATTTCTTTCTATGTTGTTGATATATTTCCCATGTATCTTCTATGATACATTAGAAACAACTACCTGCATTGTGATCTTTTTACATTCTTCTTTTAACCATTTTGTGAAGAGAAACTCTTTTCTCTTACCTTTACTTTCATTTCCAGGATTTAAGAAGGACTGGAGTTCCTCTTTCTTTTGAACTGTCCATATTTTCTTACCTGAACTTCTGTATGTGTTCAGGAAAACCTCAGCTCAGGACTACTATTTAGCTTCTTTTGAAGGACTCGAAGGAGAAAAAAAAAAAAAGAACTATTCCATAGGCAGTGATAATCCTTGTCTTGTGAACATCTTTTTTCATGAAAAACAAAACCAAACAATTCATGAATTGTCCCGGTGAGGATAAAGCTTCCTTTTTTCCTACATCTCAATGTCAGCTGACATTTTTTTTCTGGTACTGTATGTTACTTAATTTATTGAGATTATTTATTAGGACATTATTGTTATAAACTGGATTTAGCCAGTAATCACATATATGTATATATATATTTTTTGCATTATGTCAGAATTATCGTTTATGACATGTTACTTTCTCTGGGATTCTGATGAATTATCCTCACTTGGATAAACTCTGAACTATGTAAAAGACAAGAGAAATGATTGGACTGAGATTAGTGAATCAATGTTCAGTAATCCAACTCTGGTATACTGAGATATAGAAAGTTAGATTTTTTTTTAGAATTTATGTCTTTACAGGACATAAGATAACATTGTGTCCCACTAGCTGTGGACATGCCACAAACACTACAGAAGATCTCTTAAACATTTTTGAAGGACCTGTGGATGGTTCATTACTTAATTCAACCATAATCTTGAAGAAACGTCCTCTATAAAACACTATGAATATTTAAATCAAGTGCAAATTATAGATCATAGCAGTATCAATGTCAATAATTGAAAGATCAAGTCTCTTAGAGGAGAAAATGAAATTTTTTTGAATAGGAATAACTCAGGGGGTTTTTTCTTTAAGGTTTTTTGTATAAAATTTTTAAGATTATTGAAAGAAATAGTGAATATTAAAAGGGCTTGTAAAATAACACTAACTTTATTAATTTAAAAAGATGATTTATTATTATTATTAGATTTATCCTACTACCTGTACTTGGGGATTTGGAATGTATATGTGAATCTTTTGCTGCCTCACATAAATGTCTATTTAAATTAACTTATGTAAAATACAATAGTTAGCATAAATGTCTTTATTTTTATACTATTTAAAGTCAAAACAAAATCTCCTCTAAAATAAATTGGGCTGTTGTTAATATATCTTTTGCCATGTGAGATATAATTTTTCTAATGGATCATATTTAATTGTCTTGCATTCACTTATTTATTCAAAATTAGACTGGGTCCTCAATGAAATGGCCCTGCCCTCAATCATATATAAAAGTTTCCTAAGGTCACTATTTATAAATTCTTATTCATCACAAAGCCATATTGGAAAACATGTTGTTTGTGCTACAGGAGATAGCAACAAACTCACTTTCATAGTCTAGTCTATAAGGGACTTGGGAGTACACAAAAGTCAGGGAACAAGACAAAAATCACTAAGTAGGCACTCAGTTATAAAGAAAATTCAAAGTAGGAGATATTATATATATTCTTTTGAGTAAATCATCAATACCTATCTCATTGAGAGTTATATTAATAGGTGTGTCAAGAGGTCCCTGATTGGCATATTCTTGGTAATTTTAGAGTCCACAGAGATCTCATATTTAAAGTTCTGGCCTCTCTCCCTTGGCATTCCCCAATCCAGTGATGGCTTCTGCAGTCATATATCCCATGATAGTACATGTCTTCATCCCAGAATCATTAATTATTGTACCACTTGCACATCTTGACTTCAAGCATCAACTTTATTTCTAACATAGCATCTCTCCTGGTTTCACTGTGCCGTTTGATCCATAAACTTCATCACTTCTCTTCCATTACACATTTTACCTGCTTATTTCCTTCCTTTCACATCTCGTTCAGTTTCCATCACCCACCCCTGTCTACTCTCTCTCCATTGTGCTTACAGTTTAATTAATTTCCACCATCCTCCTAATCTATTCACTACAAATGTACATACTTTCTTTACTGAAAGATTTTCTTTTCTTGGTTTCATGATTTCATATACTTCTTGTCTTGTCCTATTATGTAATGGATAAATTTAACTCCTTATCCTGTCCTATGAGTGCCCAGTCAGCTATCCCCACCGATTTATTATTACCCTCCTTATCAACTGTGCTCCAGCCACATTGGCTTTCTCCTAGTTTTGCAAGTTGTTGCCTTTACCTAAAATGCACAATGTCCCACCCAGCTGGATCTTTCTGAACATTCACATCTCGGTTAAAATTTTCTTTTATGAAAGTCTTCTCCGACCATCTAAATTAAAACAACTACTGAGGTTGTTTCATTTTCTTCATTGCATTCATTACATCCAAATTTTTCTGGATTTTCATAGTAATCTATTGATTACTGTGTTCCTTGTTAGAAATTTTGTCTATAAAGGAAAGGAACTTATTTACAATGTTCACTGTGCCTGACACTTAAAAGCACTAAAAATAATGTAAGTGAATAATAATAGACTTCATGAAAGATTATGGTTATGCTTGAAGGAAGAGTAAGATCTTAAAAAGTAAACATTCTGGAAAATAGTCACTTTCTTCAAAAACTAAAATTTACTTACTATATGTATTTGCTTTTTATTGATGCTATAAATTTATCATAAAGTTAAAAACCCAAGAGACAATTTTGCTGTCAATAGCTTTGGAAGTAAGTCCTGGAAGAAAAAAAAAAAAGAAAAAGTGACAGAAGACTTCAAAAATGAAAACCATATAAAATCCCCTGGGACAGTTTAAAGAGAAATAATAATTAAATTATACAGATCCTAAAAGAAAAAGAACATATAAAATCTCTCTAAGGAAATAATCATTAAAAAACATCTAATCTGGGAAATGAACCAAAAACTGATCTATAAGGCCAAAGAGTTCCAAGCAAAACAAATCCAGGCAAACACACACCAAGGCACATAATCAAGTGTTGAGAATCAATGACAGGACAGAATATTCAAAATATCAAGATAAAATGTTGATATTTATAAAGAACAGAAGGCTTCAAATTGCAAAATGAACCTTAAGAATAAAGGAGAGAAATGGAAGTATCATGTTACTGAACTTCAAAGTTTACTGTAAAACAAAAGTACTAAAAGCAATATGGTATTGCTACAAAAAAAAGATATGTGGACCATAAATAAATACACACATACTAGCACCTAATCTTTGATAAAACATTCATGACCATATAGTGGGGAAAATACAGTCTCTTTTTTCTTTTTTAAGATTTATTTATTCATACAGAACTGGGATGCAAGTCAGAGTTGCAGGGACGGTGAGAGGCTTCACCAGAGACAGAGTGGGGAGCAGAACAGGCTGACTCATGAAGTACACTGCTACGGGGAGCAGCCAGCGGATCAGGAGAGGTCTGCCACTCTATGTGCTCACCTCCCGGCTGGGCTGGGATTGAACTCATGCTGAAGTGGCTTTAGCTTCCTAGTGCTGTGCTTTAACCTGCTGCACCACCAAGGAGGGCCCGAAAATACAGTCTCTTTAATAAATGTCCTGGGAAAATTGGAAAGTCACACCTAATGAAATTGGATTGCACTCTAACACTATACACAGCCAAAAGGATTGAAGATCTGGATATAAGATCTGCAACAATAAAACACAGAAGATACTGGTGATATGTTACACAATATCAACAATGAAGATATTTTTGTTGGTCAACCATATGGCAAGGAAATTAAAACCAAAACTAAACAGTTGGGAGTATCTCAAGATAAAAAGCTCTTATATAAGGAAAGGAAATACAAGATGATTCAAGAGACTAAATGGAGAAATATTTACACAATATATAATTAATAAGGGGTTAATATAACCTCATACATCTTAACAATGAGAAACTAACCACCCTAACAAATAGGCAGCAGATATGAACAAACAACTCACCAAAGAGGATATTCAGAATGCCATAAACATTACGATTAGGATGTAAATATCTTTTAAAAGTCATTATTTGTCTACTGCATTGTCAACTCAGCAATTACACTCTTGAGCATTTATCCTAGGAGAACAAAATCTATATTCATGAAAAAAAAACTGTATATTAATACTCATAGCAAATTTATCTATAGTAGCCCCAAACTGTAAATAATCCAAATGTCCTTCAGCATGTTAATGGTTAAAAAAAAAAATCTGGTACAGGGCCCTTCCTGGTGGCACACTGAGTTAAAGAGCAGCCCTACAAGCAAGTTGCGACCCCTTCAGTGCAAGTGCAATCGCTGGCCCGGAGGTAACCTATATGGCGTAACAGACCTCTCCTGCCTTGCCCGTGGCGCCCCTCAGCAGTGTACTTTTGTCAATCTGCCTGTTCTTCTCTCCACTCTCTCTCTGGTGAATACTCTCACTGCCCCTGTGCCTCTAGCCTGTATCCCAGTTCTGTATTAATAAATAATTAAATCTAAAAAAAAAAAAATCTGGTACAGCAATTCCACTACTAGGTAGCTACCCAAAGAACTCAAAAACACTATTTTGAAAAGAGACTTGCATTCCTATGTTTATTGTAGCACTGCTTATAATATCCAACATATGTAAATAGTTTAAATGCTTCAAAACAGATGAATGGATCAAGATGATGTGGTATATATGCACAATGAAATACTACTCAGCAATCAAAAAAGATAAATTCA